CCCAGGATACCTTTGCAAACGGAATTTCAAAGAGGAATCAATGATGGTTATCGGCGCGCCACGCCGCGCCGCGCCGCGCCGCTTTGAATAACCTTTGAATAACCGATCGCTAAGTGAATTCGCCGATAACGAGATACGTCCGCGTTTCAACTTCAAACGGAGGTACGACGGTGGCTATTCTTTCCCCGCCGTTATTTTTCGCCGTTCGACAGTCGACAGACCCGATTAGTATTCTAACAATGCCCTCGTTACTCCGCCGGCCGACTTAACGAGTTCTTCGACGCTTAAGAATTACGAATTCTGGCGAGGAATGACGTAACTATTCCTGGTAAATAGCCCTCCCTCGCGAAAACAAGCTCCGGTTCTAGCGCCGTGATTGAAACAGTCTTCTGGGGTCTTTAGATAAGAAGCACACTCGACGCGTTTTATAAAGATGGGCTCACGGAGTCATTGGTCTCGGATGAATTCTTCGGAGTAGCAAACTTCTTAAGGATCTTTATGGCAATTCGGACTGACGGATCTTAAGATTTATGATCCAAGGGAAAGATTTCTTCGATAGTTGGTTAATGTTAATCCAGTTTTTATAAAGTCGGCGTGTCTTGGTTCACAGTTTGGGAGTGAAACTGCCAGTCAAACTTTCGAGTTACTTATTAAAGATAGTATTATTTCTACCTTAACACTAGAACTACCAGACGGATTGAAATGATGCATTTTTGATTCCTTTCTTCACATTTATTAAACACATAAACATATGTCAAAGGGTGACTCGGTGATACCTAAAGTCAATTACGATTATCGAAATGTCAATAAACATACTCTTATACTTTCCACGTGAAAATTCAAGAAACTCAATTCAACTGCTCCGTAGTTCTAATCTTATACCGCACAATTACACAAACTTATCAAGTACAAATAGTAATTCCGATCATCAGCAAGCACGAACAATAGTATTTCAAATTACATCACATCATTACTGAATAATTCAAGCATATTCAGTTCAGAAGCACAGTAAACACCTCTAAACACTCAGGTGGCACAAGAGGATAACGAAAAAGCTCCATTTAAGACAAGCAACACCTGAAATATTCAAAACTCCCAATACTCCCTGAGCCTACATCTCCGGACGTCTGCGAAGAGATTCGGAACTATCCCGGTGCTGACCAAAAAATTTACAAGCGGGAATGCTGGGAGTCCGAATTACGCAAGTTTCCGGGAATCTCTGAACACTTCTCGGTTGACTGCTGTTCGGGCGGAGACGACGTCTCCGCGGGAATCAATATTTCAAGCGACGTCTCGTCATTCTGTACCGGGGCTAAATATTTCACGGCGGCCGCGGCACGGGGTCAGAAGCTCCAACAGAGGCGCGCCTCCGACGCCCGCAAAACGCCTGCCGCTCGTTCGTTCGTATAATGCATAATTTGTTTCGACGAAGGAGACATTTAAACTTCGGCCTCGGTGAACTTCGACGTCTTCGGGGATGACGGTAATTTCATCAGATCCAAGCGTACGTGTGCTCGCAAGGGTATCCGCCGCCCTCGCCACACCTCCGCCCCTATCTGGCAACGAGAAAGTAATCTAGTAAACTCTCGGATAAGTCTTACGACGCGACGCGGCGCCGCGAGTTTACCGCTGTCCCCGAAACGGAGAAATCAACGATAGTTCGTCGGTTCGGTATCTTGTTGCTAACTCACTGAACGGACCATTTACCTCCGGCCCGCTTTATCTTACGCTGAACTCTAGCCAGCGGACTCTTCGCACAGTTCGCCATGTCCTCGATGAAATTAGAATTATCGAGGAACCGTGAATCGATGGCTCGCTCGTGTAACTTGGTTAACTTCTTTGGACTTGGGTTATGGTTGATACGACTGGAATTTTGTTGCTTGGTTTCTTGGTTGTAACAGGCGTGGAGAGGATGAGTAAAGTTTGAAGGTCAGGAACAAGGGAAATCTTTGTGTAGGAATGTTCATTGTTTGGGAGGTTTCGGAGACGGGATTTTTAATGAAGGAATTCGGGAAGGTTTATTATTTCTTGCAGAATTCTGTAGAATATTATAACTTGAACATTAGGATAAATTTAGAATAAAGTAGAATGTTCACTGTTTCAAGTTGTGTTTTGCACAGCACTGACCACATGTACCCAACCACAAAGGATCGAACGAAAAATCTCGTACGGATAGTGGCCGAGTCCCCTGTTTACGTGACGATCCCAGATCGTCCTCGGATAAGAGATACAATTTACTGGAACACGTCGGCACAGGCTAGCCACGAGCGAATTCCTCCGAAATAGGACCGCTCGGGCAATATCTTTTCACTCCGTCCCCGTTTCCTTAAGGATAGTCTCTTTTCCTTGGAGCAGTTGCGAGCGATTGAGTGACTGATTACGAGAATGATCGAGAGGAACACGTGACGCGAAGAAATTATACTGTTTTCGCGGAAATACACGTTCACTGCTTATCGAGAAATCTTTATTCTCACCAACTGCGCCACTTTTAACCATGAGTATTGAAACCGATACTAAATGATTATCAATTACTTATTGGTCAATAATCAAGTACAGAAGACGTCACAAAATATTAGAATTATTTATATATGCAGTATAATTTGGAACGATGTAAAAACTTGAAACTAGTCAACGCTGCTTTACAATAGTCACCGCCCAGAGCGAAGTGTTAACGGTGATAAAGAGGGAAGTTAAATGGATGATTGGTTGGCGTAATCCGAATCGCTCGAAAGAGCCGAGAAAAACGGGCGCGGTGTCCGTATTTAATCAGACATTGATAAAGGTCGGTTTTCCTATCCGCGAGCCACTCTAACACCTGAATCCGCCCAGCGAAGCTTTTTTAATTAGGCTCCGGGCGACGGGACCGACCGCTTAGAAATCGCGACAAAGGGGATTCCTTTTTATTCGCTCGCCGCCGCGAAGTTGAGAAATTCCCCGGCAGCTGCTGAAGTTTTCTATTAACTTTGAACGTGTTTGACCCTGCCTGGGATCCTTCTCTTATTACGACTTTGTCAGTCCCTTAGAAGCCGATTTCTTTAGGGAAACTCGGGCCATAGAAAGAGTGACGGCCAATTCCGTACTCAATACAATTCTTTAGTTTGGTTTGCTCGATGTCAATTATTCACTGAATGCTTCTGATAATTTTCTTCTTAATAATCTTTATTGACGAGTAGGTAGAGATGCTTATAAGAACTTGAGAAATGAAATGAAGCCAGTAAGAGTTGCATTAGCTATTCGTTAATGTGAAATTTATTAACAGTTGGAAGTAGTATGGAAGATTTCTTATAAATCTTTTTTGAAAATGATGAAATGTGAGATTGTATGTATAGCATAGTACTAGAAAATGCTAATTACGAATAATAGATGACTGATGCATTGATTTCTGTATTTCTTACAGTTGCTATAACATAATTATTTCTATACATGTTGCCTAGGCAAATAATTGTTCGATATAGTAGAGTGAATTAACTTAAAATTAACTTCATTCGACATTTATCCTGTTTCCTTTTAAACGTGTTGTTATAATCTTCAACATAACAATCTTCTTCTACAATTGAAAAAGAATCATTCTTCCTTTGAAAAAAATTTTGGAACTAATCGAAATTCTCTGACCACTAATAAATATCTACTTCAAAAAAACAATCGTACAATTAATAACACCATATTCCACGAAACGAAGTAATTGCAGCAACATTCAACTCGAAGTGCCCAAGGTATCGATCGAAGTTCTCCAAACGAAACATGGAGCATACTTGACATGCCGAAGGGATATCGGCGGAAGTTAGAACCGGAGTGATATTCCTCGGTCACGGGGCATCGAAATTTATGGATCCGTTCCGTTGATCCCCCGTAATTAATCCCCCGAACGGACATAAATCGGAAAAGGCAACTGTCGCCGGCGACTATTGCACGTACGTGGCGGGCGGACGCGCTTTGTTGGCACCACTTAACGTATTTACTCGGGAAAGTTTACGTCTCTCAGCGTCTGGCGAGCCACCGCGCTGCGCCGCGCCGCGTCGGTGCTCGGGAACGGAAGCAGTTTAACGCTCCCGAACTTAGCCATCGAGACGTCGAGGCACCGGCGCTCGGAAACTACGGGAAGACGTCCAAGATGATGAATGCCGAACGTTAAGCAAAACTGGTACGGGCGTGCGCTGGAAACGGACTCGCATATCGTACGTCGCGTAAACCCAGAAACTTGGTACATTACATTTTTCAGACATCAGCAACTTTCCATCGTCTTTTCCTTTCTTGTTTCCGGTCTCTCTACATCGCGTTGCGAACTTTTATTGGATGAATAATTAGTTCGTTAGGTTTGCGTGGTAAACATCGTAAGCACAAAAAGTAAATCGATGCAATGAAAGATTTGGAGGTTTAGGAATGGTTAACAGGGAGATCAGAGGGGAGAATTCTTTAAGAAAGCGTCTCAAGGAATTGATACTTTCAGAATTCTCAAGAATGTTTCACTGTTGATTCAATCAGGTGTTTTTGGAATCTTAGTATACAATTTCCTTTAACGAATTTTACGCGTGAAGGTGTTTAGTTCAGTGAACCTATTTTATTGTCATTGGTAATGTAATCGGCAGACTTATAGTGCAACATTTGTCAATGTACCGAAAATCAAGACATCAAGATTACTTTTAGAATGTCAAAACCAGAGACAGCTGAAAAAGGAAGGTTGAATTCATTGATTTAGTGTAAATATTAACTTCGAAACAGCCTGATGTTCGAGTTTCATGGCGTGCCTTGGGAACAACTATGCACAGAGGAATCTTCGGGAACTCTACCGGAGATTCTACATGGTTTCTAATCCGTGGGAGTTTCTAAATGTTATCGCCACGGTGTGGGATACGGTAACCATGTTCTAATGGGCAGCTGCCCCAGATCTTTGTTCGTGAATCTCTCGATCGAACAGCGCGCCGGCAGTATCAATAATTCCGAACGGGGTGCGATGAAACGCCAAAAACGTCGAGTTGGCATGCGAAGTGTCGGTAATCACGTATCGAGGAAATCCGTGTGACCCGGAAATTTCAGGCGCCGCCGGGGCAAATGGAATTCCACGGCCGGCGCGGAGCGACGAATGAAATTAAAGGCGCGTCGTCTGTCCCCTGACTGTATAATGAATTTACTTAATACGGTTTACACACCTAGAAATGCCGAAATTGAACAGGTTCGCAGACGCGCTCTAAGCCCGATCCCATGTATCTTACCGTGATTCCCGCCTTCGTCCTTTTTCCGAGTTTCTGTTTGCTGTAGAGCTTTGCCTACCAGCTTTCCGTACGAAAACCTCGGGAATATACGGGGTGGTTCATCAGCAGAGGTCGCAATATAGGGGAAATGATGACATGATACTGAGTGAGCCTCGGCAAATGAACAAAAGAGAATGAACATCACCTTTCTAACGTGATGTGCACAGAAAGATTAAATAGGAGGGTAAAATAAAGACGGTCATCTTTTTTCACAACCCACCATGTACATCAATATAAATGAAATAGAGGGGTGCGCGGTTATCCACGCTATTTACTCTACTCTTCGGCGACAGATTCCTGTATTACCCCCACCACCATTGCTGGATCAGTTACGTGACTAATGGTGACGACAGGATTGGTCGTTGCGTCATTTCGCGGTGTCACGTGACTCGTCTGGCAGTGATAGTGGGGGTAATGGGAGAATTCGACGCGGGAGTAGAGTGATTTGGTGGCGATGTCTTTATCTCGCATTATCGTTCGTAGGTGCCATTTGAGAATTTATAGACTCGCATAGTTGAAAATATCGAGAGTTTGAAAAATTTGAAGAATTCAAATTTTCATCTTGTTTAATAATATAATGTATAGATAGTATATATAATGGCTTAATATATATGGGATAATTTCGAAAAAGCCTTGATCATTTCGTGGAGTGAATCAATTATGGCTGATTTATGGATCACCCTGTACATCGATGAAAAAATATCGTGATCGAAAAAGTCCGGTTGACAATCGTAGGCAACGTACTTTCGAGATTTCCCGCGATTCAAACAGTTATCACGAGAAATTCCGACCTTCGCTCGATTACCGCCAAACGACAATGTCTTCTCCATTCTAGTCCGCAATTACCAACTTGGGGAAGTTCTTCCATCTCGAAGCGACCCGGGAAGAGAAGTACCGAAGCTACTCGAACGGAAATTTGTCTGCGAATTGACTCAGATCCGCGTGTTTGGTCGCTGCGAAGCGAAGATTTGCTGAGATTTCATTCTTTCTGGAACGAATCGAGGTTAAAAACATTAGTAACCTGGCTAGCACTCTTTTTTCCGAGAAATATAAAAGATAGCTTTACTTTTCTAATGAATCAAAGGACAATATGAGTCAGTATCTTATTCCGTTTTCTTATACATCGAACAGCCTAGGTGTCTCATTTATCTGACGGTAAATACTATATATTTCAGGACCTGCGCAATTTGAGTAGACTATATTTCCATTAATACTTGACAAGAAACGTAGTGCGCTATGTATCCAAGATACTTCTTTACTTCCGATAACGCAGTCCTTCAAGAGCCCTCCAATAAATTTCGATCAAAGGAAATAGCCAAGATCCATCCCATCGTCGCGTTACACAGGATCGATGGAATAATCCGAGTCCGCGTGCGGTCACGAAGCCATAATTCGAGTGCCGCGTGTACTGCCGTGCCCGATTACTTTCGATCGACCAATAGCTGTAACGTCGGCACCGCGAGCTACGATAAAATTGAGTTTCCAGTTGCCTTGAAGGTCGATTAACGTCCAATCGAGCCCGGGCAACTCGATTATTTCCTGCAAATCGCTTTTCCTAAGGTCTTTACGAGGCCCGGATTTCCTACCGAGCCAGGCCAAGAGTATACCGTTCCTCCGCGTAATTACCTTACCACCGCAAATTCGTCGGAATCCCGCCGAGAAAAAGATCTCGCCAACATTTTTCCAAATCGTTCACCCGTCACGAGCAATTTCGCGCGTTCACGCCTCGGTGACTCGACTGAGGAATACTTTCGGGGATACGGAAAACGAAATATGCGACGGGTAACCGATAGCGAGATCCCGAAAATGTCGGGATCATAGTAATCGGGTCGAGTCGGTTTCCCAAAGGAATTCGATTCAAGTAAAGGCAAGGCTGTTTGTAAGTTTGAGAGAAGGAAATAATAATAAATGGAATAAAATATAATATAGTATTATTTAGTTATTATTTTTACTCCGTATTCGATCGTATAATTCCAGAGATTTTGGGAACCTGAAATAAATGGATTCGAGGAAAAATAAGTTTACAAGTTTGAGGGAAAAAAATAATAATAAATGAGATAAAATATAATAAAGGATTATTTGGAGAATATTTTTCATCTATATTCTATCGTTCGTAATTTCAGAAATGTTGTGTACCCGAACAAACATTATTCATCTCGTCTGATATTTTCGGGTTCCTGCACATTTCTAATAACCGAACATTTCATCACGGAAGAAGGGATGACAGAAATTCCTTTTACAATCGACGCTGGAAGGTGAAATGATCTTACAGTTTTGTCACCCAGATTCCGTACTCTACACGTGAGATAAGCCGCCTTCCCACTCATCGCCGTCACGTTCGTGTTCTGCGAGCTGTCGAACGTCGGCTCGGTCTTCGCCTTCAGCCCCGATGGATCCACCAGCAGCTGATTCCGCGGCCGGCTCTGAGTCTGATGGCGATCGTCAATCGTCCGATCCCCTAAACTGAGCGTGTCTACAACAGAAAGAACGAGTTCTGTCAGTTGAGCGACTTTATTCCGTCTCGACTTCCAGTTTCACTGATTCCCGATAGGATTTCAAACTTTTCTGACCATCCGACAACTTGGCAAGATAGCAATGACACGTGTCGATTGGTTTTCACTTAAATTACTTCGCTACATAAGTTCTAAAACTTGAGGTATTCCACTGGCATCAATGTCTTTTGAAATGTTTTTCAAAATATCCTCTAACTTCAAATGGTACTTATTCAAACTGATCGATTGGAGATACAAGAAACATGTTAAATATTTCTTCAACCACTTACGTTTTTCTTATTCGAGATTAATGGAATATACATTTAATCTAGAAACTTTACTCGGATAGGCTTTAGCGAAAATTGCAAGAAACATTTAAACTTCTGTAGCGAATACTTTATAACAAAAGTAAGTTCTCTGCATTACAAGTCTTCCATAAATCCTACAAATCTCCTATAAATCATCTATAAATTAGTATCGAGTTGTTACTCGCTGAAATTTGCCTCCACGAACGAGAATGTCTCGATACATAATAATGGAATATTCCTTTGAGTTACACGCGGTGCTCGTGCAATATTCAAAGACCAAACCCAAGCAATCTCAAGAGTGAACTGAGCAGACTTTCTTATAGACACGCCAAACGGAATCTTCATGCGTCTTTCGGATTTCGTTGAATCAGATCGTCGTTCCCCACGCGAAAGAGTATCGATTCCGAGACAGTGCTCGAGTAAATACGTCGTCCGCCAGTTTTCCTAAGCAAGCGAATCACTTTGACTTTGTTCCGTCCGGCGTATAAATGCCGAGGCCACCGAGGAATTCGGGACAGTCGGTCTTTGGTAACGACCCTGGACGCATTGGATCCTCATTCCCGTTTCTGTTTGTCTAGCCATCTGGCTAAGGAGCTGGTTTCGAGCTCGAAGTCGAAACGTTTTGACCCCTTTTCATTGCATTCAAGAAAAGTTTTTTAATCTCGGGCTCACATGTCAAAAAGTTGTCCTATCAGCGGACGAAAAGAAAGGATCTCTATTGTTCTTCGAAAATATTCGTGCGATGGTCATTTCGGAAGCATAAGCGGTTGCACAGCAATCACGACATAACCATCAACCTGAAGATCCTTTAAAACGGGGAGATGTATTCAAAGTGTATAATAAGATTTATCCTCGCAAGGCCTCGTGTTCAAGAAAATCGACTGTGAAAGCATCTTTCGTGCATCAGAATTCAGTACCATTTGCCTGCCAGCAATGTTCAATATTCAAAGTAAACACACACGTGCAGAAAACCGGAATTCCTGTCTCGTTCGATAAAGTATTAGCACTAATATAATTTTGCTGTAGTTGCCAGAGAAATCGTAAGGCGTGGGAACCGATGCAGTTGCATTCTGAAGTAGAAATCAATGCTGCGTGTTATTCAGTTAGTGCGGTGAATCCTAAAGTAACATTCGTATTTAGGATTTTATTTAATTCATTGGAATAGTTCGTACCAGCGCCGCTAGTACGCGCGAACCGGGTTTCACAATATTGTTTTATCGCAACGTGCATATTGGATCTCGATTCTCGGTTGCGAGGCTATCTACTGATCTCTACGTAGGTATCTGCCCACCAATCTTTCTCTCTCTCTCTGTCTGTCTGCCTTTTTCCCTAGTTTCCTTCCTTTTCTTGGCTTATCGCGCCCTGTATCTGTCTTGCTTCATTTGTTCTCCCTCCGCTATCTTTTACACACCTGACTCTCTCCGCGTTTTATTTGCGTGCTGTTCCTGCACCGAATAAAGGGACATTCTTTGCAAGCAAAATCGCGAAAGCGGAAACCCGGTTTTCTTCCTCTTACAAGCAGCAGGTCGAGTATCTTAACACATTTATGTCGGGGCGTGTCTTTTTATGTTTAACCGTAGATCGTAATAATAAGACAGCCGCGTTTGTTAGATTAATGTTGGAGCGTATTCCTTTGTTAATGTTTAGTTTTCTGAGTTTAATTGATATTTTAATAAACAAATTAAAGTTAACTCATTTCAATTTTGTAAATTAGGTGTGCGCCACTGGTGGTAGAATTATTTTATTTGCCAGTGTTATATTATAATTCTTTTCCATGAAGAAACTTAGATTGACTCGAGAAACTCTGGATCCAACTTAATTTATTGTAAACGATCATTTCGTGATTCCAATGAAATTTCATTCCCGTTTGAAAGGGATCTACAAGAAAAAGTGAGGAGAAAACACAGAATAAAATATTTTCACGGAAGAATCCATTTTCTAGATAATCGGCTTTGAAAGTTCGTCGCGCACGGATTTAGAGGAAGTGGAAACAGTGGGTCATGGACAGACGCGCCGAGCAGCAAGCGTGCTCGACAACTTTTCAGACGCGATTATCTCTAAAACTAGGAGTCATATGAAAAAATTATATTCCACATTTCCGGCCTAGTTTGTTTTTTATACAAAATCATCCGGTGTGCGGCAATTAAAAAAAAAATACTCTCCTCGTACAGTGAAACAATTTATATTTGAATTTCTTCATCCATTTCGTTTCGTATAAAAAAATTATTTCCACAAAAGCGAGTTGGTAAAAAATGTCCAATGAAAAATATCAAAAATAATGATGACCCACAAGCCGCGAGCATTTAACAGTACCGACAAACCCGCAAACCGGGATATCAGCGACGCGCATCCGCCAGTATTATTTTGCCAAGCGCAGAGAACGATCCGACCAGAATTCCGCGTTCGAATTAGACACTAAATTTCGCGGTTCTTCCCGCGTTGCGGCGAGCGCGCTCGTGAAATCACAGAGCGAGCAGCGGCAACCGTTGCGCGGCTCCGATCGGTGAATTGCAACCCTTACATTATCGCAGCCTGCGAATATTAATGTTCCTTTATTTCGCTATTTGCATGGTAATCGTTATTACAGGCGTTCCGTACGCGTAGCCCGCAGCCAATAAAGGCTCGGCTAAAAATTCAGTGGACGATACGGGCGAGCCCGGGTAGCGACGTTAATCACCTAGTCGGCGTAGGTTCGTGGAGAAGTAACTGCAGCTCTCTTATTAATGCATCCGAGGTCGATATCTTAAAACACAGTTGTCTTTAGCAGCCGGCGATGTTTGGCTGCTTAACTATGCAACGGGTTTTTGCGACTGTGACAAATAGGGGTATACGGAACATAAAGTAGATTCTGATTGTAGTAAATGTTCCCAAGAGTTTAAGAATACCTTACGTTATTTTTAACTTATTACAGCTCTTAAGAGAAGACATTAGTTTGTACTGAACCTTAGCTTCTTTAAATCATTTAGGAGAGTTTTATTTCGCGCAAGCATTCGCTATATAATTATAACAATACATAACTGAAACTTTAATTTCATTAAATTGTCTGAAATTCAAATTAAACTGCAGAATCACAGAAATACGTTTTATACTATTTTTATCACTGAAATATACCATACATACTGCGTTACGCCTTATTGTAAATTTCTCTGCTCTAATCTCGAACTGACCAATCACACTAATCTCAGTGCACGATCCGCACGCTGAGTCACTAGTTACCCATGTGAGACGTTGCATGACCCACGCAGTGTCCGGTCCCTAACACGTTTAACGACGAAGGAATTAAACCTGTTACAACCTGAATAGCCAATCACCCGCGAGCGGTTGTTGCGCGCAAAAGCCTTTCCCTTTGATGTCTCACGAGGCGCAGATAGCACCGCGTCGCGTCTCGTCGCGTCGTTGATCTCCGGTTCCCGAGTCACCCGCTCGTGGAGGGTTGCGAGAAGAATTCTCGAAAGAACGGGTGAAGGTAGAGAGGACCCTTAAACGCATCTAGCTGAATAAGTTGTTGGAGGACGCGCGAGATGGCAAGAATGGAGGACAGGCCTGGCCGTTCTCAATAGGAACAGCGCATACAAAATGCCTATAGCTCACTCTCCACGGCGAAGCGTAACAGCCGCGGGATGTAGTTATAGCCGGAAGGAAGATTGGATGGAATTAGATTAGATCAGAGCTCATTACGCTTCGGCTTAAGAGTGAATTAGCCGGAGAACGGGTCGGCCGAGGGATCCCCGCGCCGTGGAAAAGCGTCCACGCGACGCCGCAGGGGTGGCCCGTATCGCTCTACCGTTGTTTTTCTCGTAATCCGTCAACGGAGGGGCGCAGAAGGAAAGTCCGATACACCGTGTCCCTTGAAAATGCGTATGCAGCCGCGTTATAAATATACATGAACCATGTCTCGACCCCTCGACCCGGTGTGCCGGCCATGCTAATTTCTCGGCATGCATTGCCGTGTGAGTTAGTTTTTCAATCGCGCCACGAGAATACCCGTTGCGAGTAATAGAAGACAACTGCGCCGATGTATATGATTAGGATTAATTTGTTGATCGTTGTAATGGCTTTTAGGAGTTTGGTACAGTGTTTTCTTAGGAGTAGATTGTTGTCGGTTTGGTTCTTTGGTTGATCAATGCTAGTTTGTTCTATTAAGAGTACCACTGTTATAGCGCTGTTAATATTACTTGTTCTGTCGTAGAAAAGATGACTGATATTAAAATGATATTACTAATGATTGCTTCGTATATCTTCAATGTTTCAATTGATTTCAAGCATTTCGGAAGCAACAGTCGTCGGAGACGATCGTTAATCTCAATCCTACTATTTCCTAATTATTCATTTATACAAAATCCATCCGTACGTACAGAAAATACAGCGTCGTATTCCATTTTGTACTGGACTATTTATGAAAATTAATTTTTTTAAAAATGTTATCTCACACGGTGTGTATATGAAAATTACGTTCACGCAGTTTTGGAAAAGAAGCAAACGGAAACGTGCAAACGCAGCCGGTAATGTGCATAGCCAGCGAAAAGGTACACGGTACGTATGTGTCTTACGAAGCCATTAATTCGGCCCCGAATGTGTATTTGCCCGAAGGCAGAAACTCTATACAAGGAACCCGGGATTATAAGCGGCAAGAAGTTCGCGCCGTTAATTGCTTTTCTCCCTCCGCCCCATTA